TGCGTGTGTGTGTGTGTGTGTGTGTGTGTGTGTGTGTGTGCCTCCGCACGCCCTCCATTACTTGTTCTTTCTTGTGCTTTCTGAGTTTGATGTGGGTTAATCGTTGTTCTCGGCATCACGTTTTCGATAGGAGCTAATTTCTTTTCTTTTTGTGTGTGTGTGAGGTGCTGTCTTCGTGGTAGGTGTTTAATTAGTAGTAATTTTTTTGTCGTGTTATGAATTGGGTGTTCTTCGTGAATCTTTGCTTTTGTTGTTGTTTTTTTGTTCGTAGCTAAGTGGTGGCTGTGTGCTGTTTGCCTTGTTTGTTGGAGCTGTTTGTGCTTACTTTCGGCGCTGCGCGTGGATGTCCTTGGTGTTGGCGGTTTGCATTACTCTTTGTGTTTTCATGTCATTGTTGCCTTTAGTATTACTGTTATTGTTGTGGCTGCTGTTGATAGTTGAAGCTTTGTGTGTGTGTGTGTGTGTTTCGCTAGCCTCGCTGGATGTCAGGCGTCGGTGGGGGCGGTGGTGTTGGACGTGAGCCGCTGTTTTCCTCAAAGTGGCCCCAGCCGGAGAACGGCAGCCCGACGGTGCGTGAGCGCAGCCCGCGGGTGATTCCGTTTAGAGCGGCGACGCAGTTGCGTGGCGCTGTGTCTCTGCCGCCCCCGTCCGGCGGGCCGCCGTTTGACGTCGCCGCCGTGGCCGCTGCAGGGGCGGAGGCGGTGGCGTCTGACGCGTCGCGCCGCGGGACGGAGGAAGCGGGGGGCGGCGCCGGCATCACCGTGGAAAGCAAGAGGCACGGCGGGTTTGAGCTGCCGGGGCGTATTTTTGGTCGTCGGGAGCGTGCGTCTGCGGAGGGGGGCAGTGTGCGGCAGGATGCGGCGGCGCTGAGGACGACGACGGTATTCACCGGCGTGACGCCGCGGCACCGTGACGTCATGCAGGCCGTTGAGGGCACCACGGCGACCGCGCCGCAGGAGGGCGGCGGAACTCTTTGCGCCACTGCAGGACACGCCGGTAAGGCTCTGACGGAGAGCGAGTTCATCTCTGACGTGCTTTTTATGTGGATGGGCGTTGATAGGACGAAGTACTTCACTTACGATGAGGCCTCCCGTCGCTACGCGGCAAATGCGGAGGTGGGCACGGTGCGCCAGCGTCAGGCCGCGGCCACGCTGCAGGAGTGTGGTTGGCTGGCGCATCAGATTGATGACGTGCTCGGAGGCAGCAGCACCGAGCGGTCCTTCTTGCAGCAGAGTTTGCGCAGTGCGGTGCGGCGGCAACTGTTGCAGTACCATTGCCTGGTGGCCTCCTTCCGTGAACGTCGGTCGCCGCCGATGACATTCGGTGATTTGGTTGTCGCCTTCAAGAGGGTGCAGCCCAAACTCCACGTGCTCTCCACCATTCTCCGTGAGACCGAGTCGGTGAAGGGGGGAGAGCTCGCCTCGAAGCTGCAGCGACTTGTGCAGCAGGGCTCCGCTAGGCTCTCCGCGCTGCTATCCGACGTGTACATGGAGGCGGTGAGCCCGCTGCTCTACATGGCGGTGTCAAGCATCACAAAAGGGGAGATCTCGGACCCTTTTAACGAGTTTTTTGTGAAGTCCAACCCCCGCATAGACAACGCATCCGATGCGTTTTGGTCCTCGAAGTTCGCGCTTCTGCCGGAAATGCTTCCCACCACCGTGCCACGCGCCTTGGCGGAGCAAGTTATGTTGGTGACGAAGAACGTTAGTTTTATTAGAAATTGTTGCCGCTGCAAGCACTGGCACATGGACCCTGCCATTGTGACGGCGGCGCAAGCTGCCTCCTTTGACACCATCGCCGCAGTGGTTCGCGATGCCGTGTGCCTTACAAACAAGGCGGTGCTGCGGCTGATTCGCGAGGAGTTTCACCTCGACAACGTCCTTCGTATGGTGAATGCCTTTCTGCTGGTTGGCAATGGAGGTTTTTACGAGCTGCTCATCGACCGGCTAGACCCTGTGCTCAGTCGATTGAGTCATATGGTGCAAACCTCCATTGTGCGGGACCACATGCAGAGCGCCCTGCTTGACATTGTCCCCTACACCCGGCACCTCGACACGGACCTTTTTCCCATGCTGCATTGTGAGTTGGTGAAGGACGACAAGATTATTGGGTGGGACGCCTTTCTTGTGACGATGTCCGTGCCCTCCCCGCTCAACAACGTCTTTGACGTGAACGCCATGAAAGTATACCGGCGACTCTTCCGCATCATGTTCAAAGTCAAGCGGGCTGAGGTTGCGCTGAAGAAGTCGTGGCGACAGAGCGTCGTGCTGGACCGCATCATTGGACGGCTGCACAACACGAGCCACGAAGCCACCGCCTGGCGCGAGGTCGCGGCGGACGCGCACCTCCTCGGGCTGCAGCTGAATCACTTTGTCAACAACCTCTGGTCGTACCTTGTGGCGGAGGTCTCCACCGTGTCGTGGGACCTGCTCATGAAGGCGCTGCGGCAGTGCACCTCACTGGATGACATTCGAGCCGCCCACATTGCGTACCTGCAGTACCTCACGCTCCACTCTCTCCTTCACGGGGACTGCGCCTCGATGCGTCAGAACATTGAGAGCATCCTCAGCATCGTTCGGCAGTACGTTGGGGCGCAGGCGCTCCTCACCTCGCTGCTGGAGCGCGGGAGCGGGGACGTGTTCTCCATCAAGGGTGAGTACCAACGCCTGGCCGACGACTTTCAGCGCGAGATCACGTCGCTCCTGACGACGTTGGAGGAGCAGCACCTGCAGTTTGATTTTTTGAACTTTCTCCTTCTACGGCTGGACTTTAATCACTTCTACCACGACACTCTCAGTGGAAGCAACACGGAGTTTTAGAGGCATGTACTTAAAGTGTGAGTGAGTGGCTGCGGGGGAGGGAAGATACGTGAGGTGTGTCTTCCTTCGCCTCTGCGGGTGCGACGTTTGCTCGCGTTGTGGCGTCTCTGTTTTGTTTGTTTGTTTGTTCGATTGACTTTCCCTTGTCTCCCCTTCTGACGCTGATTGACGGCCACATCTCCCCCGTACTTTATTCTGTGGGCTGCTCGCATCTTCTTCGCCGCGTTGGTGTGCTCCCCACTGCGCCTCCTGTGCGGCGCGGAACCGAAGTGGGCAGGAGGCAGCAAGAAAAGGGGGAAAACCGAAGGCCCACGCAAGTGTGCGTTCTACCGTTGTTGGCAGATTTCGTCTGCAGTCGGGCAAAGGGCGGGGTGGCTTGCGTCTTCATTGCCTTTGTGGTTGCCGGCATGCACATGCACGCAACTGGCGTCTGCGCTGTCTGCCCTCTCTGTTGGTGGGATGCCGCGCTTCAGAGGCGGTGGTGGCGGCGGGAAGAGAGGGAGAGGTAGCCGCGCACATAGGTGCACACACGCGAGAAAGATACAATACATTCATGTACGCTGATGTTGCGCTTCGTGGAGCAGACGCGGGGGGAGGAGGCGGCGGCGGCGGCAGCGGTGAGGGTATTATGCGTGAGCGCGGCGGTGTCCGCCCCCTTCTGCCTCCCGTTCACTTCAATGCGGAGTTGCCGCCGGGCGCGTCAGTCGGATGCGCACCGTTTCTGATGGTGGTGGTTGTCGCCATGCTGCCGTTTCTCTTCGGCGTGGGCAACGTGCTCTGGCCGGCGGTGAAGCGGTGGTGGCGGCGACGTTGGGGCAAGCCATCTGCGGGTGAGACCGTGCGCACCATTACGGGGCGCTTTCACCGCGGCGACGCCAGAAATCGCTGGAGTGAAGACGGCGGAAGCGCGCACAGCGGCATCCTTCTCCACGCGGTGCTGCTGTACATCGCCAGAGGCGCTGGGGCGGCGCACGACGGGGAGAGTCTCTGGAGGGAGGCGGATTGGCGCAACAAGCCATCTGTGCTTTTTCTCTTTGACCCGCTCAAGAGCGACTCCCACCTGGTGCTCGCCCCGAGCTCCTTTGAGCCCGTCGGCGTCTACCAAACGGGGGCGGAGCAGCGCGCCCTGTGCGAGCGAGAGCAGCTGCAGCGGTACACCGTCCTGCGACTCCCCACCGCCGGCGCGTGGGTGGCGGTGGGCGACGGCGTTTACGTGACGTACCAGCGACGCCGGGCGGACGCCGCCGGCGTGGACAAGGTGGAGCACACGGTGCATCTGAAGGCGGTGGGGCCGAACGGTCCCCGCTGTTTGGAGAGTTTTGTCTCCCGCTCGCTGCGCCACTACGTGAAGGAGCTGCCCGCCGCCACCGCCGCCTGCCGGTACTGCCTGCACATGCAGGTCGGCAAGGATGGGCTGTGCTTCAGGAAAACTCCGCTTTGCTCCACGAAGTCGTTCGACACTTTGTTTTTCCCGCAGAAGCGGGGCATCCTGGCGCTGCTCGACCGCTTCCTCCGGAAGGAGGGCCGCTTCGCCGTGGAGGGGATTCCCGACAAACTCGGGTTTCTCCTGCACGGCCCGGAAGGCACGGGGAAGACGGCCTTCGCGGCGGCGCTGGCGGCGTACACCTCCCGCCATGTCATTCTTTTGCGCCTCCCGCTCTTTTCCACGAACCAGCAGCTGCTTGACGTTTTCCTCGCCCGGGAGCTGGCGTGCGTCGGGGAGAGCCAGCCCTTCCGCTTCTCCTACGCCGACGTCGTCTTCCTGCTGGACGGCGTCGACCACAGGGATGCGCTACTGCGGCGGCGGCGCTCCGCCGCGGACGGCGACGCCCCGGCGCTCGGCCCGCGCAGGCCGCGGGTGAACGACGCTCCCTCGCTCTCCAGCCTCCTCAACGCCCTCGACGGTGTGGTGGAGACGCCCTCCCGCATCGTCGTGATGACCACGCGAGACCCAAGCGGCATCGACCCCGCCCTGCTGCGCCCGCGCCGCTTTGACTACACGGTGCGCATGGGCCACCTGCGGCTGCCGGAGCTGCTCGAACTGTTGGGCCTCCACTACGGCACGGTGGAGGCCCACGGCACGGGGCCAAGCACGAAGGACCGTCGGCTGCGCCAGGAGGAGATCGCCGAGGTGCGTCGCTCCGTGGACTTGCTTGCGCAGGATGAGTTTAGCATCAGCGGCGCAGTCGCAGAGTCCATGTGTTTTGCCGCGCCCTCGCTGAAAGCGTTTCTCGACGCACTGCGTCGCCGTTACCTCAGCGACCGCTAAAAATATACCGTGCAAAACCACAACGCATGGAGAGGGTGTGCGCTGCGGAAGCGGGACAGGGGACACGCAAGAGCAACCGTCCCCCTTTGCCCCTCGCTACAAATATCAGCGGCGCTGCTGCTTCCATGTGTGTGTATTGCCTTACCCTTCCCCTTCGCTCTTCTTCCTCTTCTTCCGCAACAGCAAGCTAGGCAGCGCACACGCGTTCCGCGTTCTTTCAGTCGTCCCTTTTTTTCCTTTCCGTTTCCTACCGCTCTTGACCATGGCCGTCGTCTACGAGGGGCAGCTCAAGGGGCACCGCGGCTGGGTGACCTCCCTCGCCTGCCCGCAGATCCCTGAGACGTACATCAAGGCGGTGTCGACCTCCCGCGACAACACGCTCATCGCGTGGGGCGGCAACCAGGACCGCAACAGCGAGGAGTGCGAGTACGGCTTCCCGGAGCGCCGCCTGGAGGGCCACAGCGCGTTCGTGTCGGACGTCGCCCTTTCGAACAACGGCGACTTCGCCGTCTCCGCCTCGTGGGACCGCTCCCTGCGCCTGTGGAACCTGCAGAACGGCAGCTGCCAGCAGAAGTTCCTGGGCCACACCAAGGACGTGCTCTCCGTGACCT